CATATCTGAATAGACAAAAAATTAATATACCTACAAGATTGAGTCACCATCTATAATGGCAAGTATCTCTGCTAAGTGGTTACTCATTTGTATTTTATTCATTGATATTATAATTTTGTAATTTAATATTTCATACATAGTTATTGTTACATTCATCTACATTAATCTATTTTAATTAATCTATTTACAATTAGTATAAACATATAAACAGCAAAGGATGGCCATAGAAATTGAAAATTAAATTTTAAGAAAGTAAAAATTATGCATCATACCGTGGATAAAATAACAGAGATAAGCGTGTGAAAAAATTCTTAAGGTAGACATAGATGGTGACTTCACGCTATGCAAATAGTATTCATTTTTTAATTCATCATATCGAATCTAAAGATTAAGCACAAAATCCGATTATCAAAAATAGGTGACCAGAAAAATATTATTTTTCATCATCATAAGACAATTATATTGTTGACGATTTTCCAAATTTTGTACAGTTCTGTAAAATTTGAATTTGCTTTAGATTTTTATAACCGCCTTAATAATCATACGCTTGATGCCCATTTAAGAGGAGGGGAAACGGCCGTTTTTATAGACGAATATGACGTTTAAGACCGAAAAGTCAGACAACAACTGTGGGAATTGTAAGTTTGAAAACCTATTATAATTCTTTAAGTTCTGTTGGACACGTTGGAAATATTTGTTTAATTTTATCTCTCTTTGTCAATAGTAAAATGCATATACTTTAAATACAATTTTGAAAACTGTTCAAAATACATTTTTTTTTTTAGGATTTCCAGTAAAATAATTCAATTTTTTATTCAAAACATATCCTAATAAAGAGTCTAAAGAACCATAATCCGTTTTCAAAATTAAAATCCAGCAAACACTATCCGTTTACAGCAAATCCATTAAAATATACACTGTTATCTATCTGCAATCTATTTCGTATTTATAATTTATTTTTTAGGTATTATGTACAAAATCCAAAATTATTTACTAAAAAATTTATACTCAGGTATTTAAAAAAAAAAAATGTTTATTAAGTACATAGATACGTCTGTATAAACTCTTTAAAACAAATAATTTACATCTACGAACTATTCAATCCCTTTCTTGTTCCAGTACTAAATTCGGTTTCACTATTTTATTATTTAGGAGAATTGTTTCATAGTAATATTGTTTACCATACGCATTTTGTACAGTTTTGAACAAGTTGCATTCAGAAACTCAAAAACATTATATATATAAACTTATACTATTATTACGTTCAGCAATTTAACACAAGTTATTTTGAAAAAGTATTTTGGATTGACATTTCCTGAAAATTTAAAATTACTGAAAAAGTAAAGTAAGAAAAGTACACAAATTAATGTTAATAATTTTAATTTTCATCTTCCTTACTCGGAAGATGTTTTTCAAACAATATTGTAAAAACGTATGTGTTTGTTCTTTTCAATTATTCGATCAATTCAAAAATGTGAAATATTATTTTTATATCCCTACCATACGAATTATTTTTAACGTATGAATCATTCACATAATGTCTCACTGATATTTATTCGTTTCAAAATATGAATAAAATAAATTATACTTGACGTATTTTTTTATTGATGTCATAAAAAATAAAAAAAAAATAATAATAATTTATCGATTTCGACGTACTCGATCAATTCAACACAAACAGCTTCTTAGTTGGTTGGCATTTGTACAGTATACCATTAACTTAATGACATCATACAANCATCAGAAACTCAAAAACATTATATATATAAACTTATACTATTATTACGTTCAGCAATTTAACACAAGTTATTTTGAAAAAGTATTTTGGATTGACATTTCCTGAAAATTTAAAATTACTGAAAAAGTAAAGTAAGAAAAGTACACAAATTAATGTCCATAATTTTAATTTTCATCTTCCTTGCTCGGAAGATGTTTTTCAAACAATATTGTAAAAATGTTATTGATTGTTCTTTTCAATTATTCGATCAATTCAAAAATGTGAAATATTATTTTTATATCCCTACCATACGAATTATTTTTAACGTATGAATCATTCACATAATGTCTCACTGATATTTATTCGTTTCAAAATATGAATAAAATAAATTATACTTGACGTATTCTTTTATTGATGTCATAAAAAGTTAAAAAAGAAAAACAATAATTTATCGATTTCGACGTACTCGATCAATTCAACACAAACAGCTTCTTAGTTGGTTCGCATTTATACAGTATACCATTAACTAAATGATATCATACAACCCTCTCCCTATATATTTTTATTTGTATTTTATTGATTGGCCCCGAATTGTAATTGAGTACTTGAAACGTAGCAGAGGTTTCTCCGTTTTCATTGATTATTAGAACACAGCATAGTTTTCTAAGTTCTACATTTGAAGTATAAATTCGAGAAAAAAAAATCACAGACTTTAATATCGTGTGCCATATTATGTTACGTTGTAGAAACAAGAACATCTAAAATTAATAGCGAACGGTTATTAGGTAGGTATACTAGTTAAGTAGTTTAGAATAACAAATGATATATGTATATATGAATCTTTGCTAACACAACTTGCACACTAAAATAAATGTGTCTGGGAATATTTTAAGAACTATGCTCATACTTATATGTTCAACTATAGCTATTTTTACAGCGACAATTTAACAAAATTTTTGATATTATTATTTTCATTTACAGAAGTGTTCCCTCCCGGATGGACGGAAAAGTGTATCGGATGTATGTGCGAAGCGTCGTCCGGATGCAATCAAACACTCGAATGCCTGGAACAGAACGGAGTTAAATACTGCGGCGTGTTCTTGTTAAGTGACGTATACTGGCAAGACGCGGGAGCTCCGGTACTTCTTGGGGACGATCCTGCGAGGATCGGAGGTAATTCGTTTTTTTTTTTTACAGCTTGCTGTGAATAAAAATGAAAATTAAAAAAAGTCATAAACGAGTTATAATGTACGGAGGTCAAGGAAACTTGGTCACCAAGGAAAAGAGACTAAAGTTAATTATTGATTCTCGAAAGGAAAATAGAACGGAAGATCTTTGAATCAATAAGGGATGACGAAGAGTAGAGACGAAGAATTACAGAGAATTATAAATAATATATGACAAAAAAAAACATTTTAGAAACCATCAAAAACGAAAGACTGCGATAGGTTGGACATGCGTGAAAAAATCAAAACCCACTATGCGGGACAATACTGAAACAAAACCCGACAGGAAAAAGACCTTTGGAAAACCGAGAATGAGATGAATTTAAAAAGAATGTGGAAGCTTTAGGAGGTGGACCGAACGGGAAAATTGTAGATAAGAGATAGTTATAGAATTACATACGTGAGACAGGATGGTCCTACATATATAGAGGCCGAATAAACCCCAAGTTTGATATGGTTACTGAAAAATAGTAACTAATAAAATGAAAAATTTTAATTTTAGCGTTTGAAAGATGCGTCCGAGATCCGTATTGTGCGGCGAGAGCAGTAAACCAGTACATCCAGAGATACGCCAAGGTAAAATATTAAATGATATAATATATTATCTCTAAAAAAAAAATAATCGATTACTATGCATATCGCTTTTAATGTTTTTCCTGTCACTAATACCCCAGCGGTTTAGTTCTGATATTTAGTTGTCCGGTGTACCGACGTATTTGTAATTTACACGAAATACTATTTCAAAGATTCGCTATCCAACGCCAATTTATTTTAGTCCGTATACTAGTGTACACATCACAATTAAAAGTTTTTTATTGACAAACAATAACAGATAAAACGGAATAAACTCGTTTTGTAGATACCTGGCCTAATTTTGAATCAATTTAACGTCTTATTATTTATTCGGTTTTTTATGCTTATCTATTAAAATCGTGTAGTTCAAATCCGGGACGGATTAGAAATATTTATGTAAATATTTGTCAATCGTCACGTAATTTGATAATGGTGGTTCACTGGTCTAAAATCTACAGGTCATTCCCTCAAAGTCTATAGTTACAATATTTTTGAAATAATTTTGCATTAGTTACACTTTCTTACTTTTTCTTTCCTAAGTGCCATGAGTAGGGCCCGAGTGTTATAGGATAAAAAATAGACGATGATGGATATGCAAATAAATCTAAAATGTTCAAAGAATATTGTATCTGATTATACGAGGCCACTAAAACCACCAATAATCTCGGCCGCGCGAATACCGTCACATTCCGGCATATTGTAGAAATAACGGTGCAAAACTGTCGGGTCCAATAAAAATTCCAATTTATTTCCGAAACACGAATGGCTGTAAACTGCACATTCCAAGAGAAACCCGTCCTGCAGAATCGCCCGAAAATTAATCTAAAGAAAACGTGCGCGTTGTCTTCTCAAGTATACACTTCCATAGTCTTTTGAGCGCATNTCTTTACCTTCCAAGTAGGTTTTGGAATTGGGATTTGTAAAATCACAAAATTATTTTAATACTTCCACTCTCACAGTATAAATATAAAAGTATTGAAATATTTTATGAACGATATATTTGACATCAATAGGTAAGATATCTGTACTAGTTTGCATAGCGTTGTGCAGAATATGAGCTGCACAACCAATTCCAGAAATGTTAGTCTTTAAATTATTGTTTAAAATCGTCAAAACATTTTTTGTTCCCCTCCTTGCAGCACCTCCAAAATTAGTATTACAGTTGTCACTGGTAAATGCAATAATTTTGTGAGATAATTTATGTTTTGTTAAAATTTCTATAATATATGACGACAATATATCCGAAGTTTCTCCTTTCAAATTTGTGAATTCTAGCACTTTTATTTGAACTCCCGTTTTAGGATCGAAATATCGAATAAGTATTGGGACAATTTTTAAATTCTTATGATTTGAAGTGTCAATCATAACCGTCGCAAAATTAACAGCTTTTAGTTCGTCTATTATTTGATCCATTGCAAAAGGAGCCAATACATTCAGAATAATTGATTCACACTTGGTACGCGCACAAGAAAACTTTTTTTCATGTAACTTTTTTATTAAAGCAGTAGTACAATCCATTGACCTAAAAGAATGGTTATGTACTATAGTGTGAAATGCAAACATTCCCTCTTCTGCTGCAATTTTTAATCCTTCACTAGTTAAGCCAGCTGGTCCTTGTTTAATAAAATATGAGGTTAATTTGTCACTTTTCGAAGCACTAGATAAGGCCGACGTATGTTTTTTCTTTTCCATATGCTGTTTGATATCTGAGCGTCCTCCATGTTCGATTGAAAATACTGCCTTACACACCGTACAAAAAACTTTTCCAATTACTTCACATTATTTAGGAAAGTAAATTCAGACTGTAAAGATACAGTGAACGTGCATCTCCTCTTTGGCATTTTTAACAAAAAAAATAATGCACCAACTCACAAAAATTTACAGAAAAAAGACGACACGTAGTGGCTATAGTAAACACAATCGTTTACTGTTCGTACGTTACTATTCGACATATTTTGCTGTTCAACTTTTTGATTAAACAAATCAATATAATAATATCTAAATATATCATCGATTATAAATAGTATTATATATTTTAGTTCGTAATGCATATGCTATACGACGCGTATCATGCTCATCTTATTTTATTATTACTATTTGTATTGCTCGTCGACATCGGCACTCGACGCTCGTTCCACGGAAATTTTAGTCTGTTATTTATAACTTTGGTTTCAAGTTTTAAATATAATCTGTTTTATATTTGGTTCATAAATTTATTTTATTCTTTTACAAAAACTCATAAATTATAATTTAATTATATGGAAATAACGGGATTAAAACGGGGACAATCTTCTAAAAACGGAATAAAAAGCGTCCCGTTCGACGTTTTTCGACATGATGATCAAAAACGGGACAATCCCGTTTTAAACGGGACGTATGGTCACCCTACTTTAAAGTGCAACTGATTTACCTTGATGCCTTGCCAAATTTGTATAGGCAATATAATCAGCATGATCTTTAATAACAATAATGTCCGTTCTTTGTATATATTTATTTTGTCTTTGTATTAATCATATTTATTATGAATTTGGCAGGTGTATCTTTATTAGTTAATAATATGTATTTAAACAAAATTAGCTAATTTAGTAATTAAAGCAATAGGACTGCCTATTTTAGGTATATATAATATAGTTTATTTTTAAGTACATTTCAATTTTTAGGAAATTTAATTTATTTATCGTAACTGTTTTACTTAAATTCAGACCGACAGTGAGACAATGAAGATGATTTTCCTCTTCTATGC